AAAAAAAAAATCACCCCACCAAGGTCTGGGAACCAACTACTCTGACCTGAGCTAACCGAGTTCTTAGACAGAGTAAAGCAGGCGATGCAATCATGTGCACACAGACAAAATCATAACAATAAAATCACAGAATTCAGAGTAATATTATACGAATCACATGTACAACCTGTACAAACAGGAGATACAGTGACAGAAGGGGGGTGGATCATATCCAATAAACCCTTTAGACATTGACATGAATAAGAAGCCAGTCTGACCACTTTTTGGAGCGAGGATGTGACTGTGTACAGGGTACATGCCCCTTAGGGCCAGAGTAAACATGCAGAACAGACAGCTCCAAGGGGCAACGACTTACCAAGGCTGACCTTACTTCACAAATGGTTTACAGGAGACTGTCAGCTAGCTAGTATTCGACACTTACCAATAGTTTACGTGTGGCCCTCACTACAAGCACCATTCCAAAATGTGTCTTAGTCAATGGCAAATGTCAAAGACAGAATTAAATATGGATACGGTAACTCTGAGGATCAAACCCCTTCATAAAAATCACACATTAAATGTTTTGGCAGCAGCACAGCAGACGTACCGCTTTGCTCCACCTGCATCAGGTGACACGATAATGCAGTTCTTCCACTCCGGAATGTTCTCCTTGATCCACTGGAGAACCGCAGGCTCTGCATACAAATTGTCCACAGCAATGTCGAAGAAGCCCTGTGGATGGCAGAGATGGCGATGAAGCCACAGGTCATGTGACAATTGACTTCTAGTAAACATAAATATTAGTACATTAAATACTGTAAGCTCTTTAACAAATATTATATATATAAATATATATAAAATAAATATTTTTGCACAGTACTGTGCAAAAGTCTTAGGCAGTCCAAAGAAATATTTAAAGCTGTTTATCTGGGTAGCAAGTGTACTTTGGCTTAGAACAAAAAACACAGTTTAAAGTTAGAACATATGCAAATTAAGAGTAACAATAAAAACTAGTAATTTCTTCTGTTTTCTAAAAAGTTCCTGATATCTAGTTGGATGGCTAGATGGCACCTCAACCATTCCATGATTTTGTTAAATTTCACCAACAGCTCAATTAAACAATTAAATAAATTGGTTTAAAAAGTCAGTGACAGATTGACTTGCTGTATGAGGTGTGCTAGTGGCCAAGTCAAAAAATACATGGCTGCACAGGACGGTCGCTGCAAATACTGGGGTGATTTTAGCAGAGGTTCTGAAACGGCTAAGCTGATACACTTTGACAGGCATAAGAATATAGTTTTACACCAACACGAGGATAATCTAAACATCATTTTCTTTGCCTGCCTAAGACTTCTGCACAGTAGTGTGTGTGTGTGTGTGTGTGTGTGTGTGGGTGGGTCAGGATCACTAGCACAGGAACCCCTGCGATATCTTTTGTGAGTGATACAATTGGTGTCTGAAATTTGGTAGAAGAAAATAGTTTGTGCATTAAACTGTCCACTACAGAGTGTGTGGTTTATCTTCAATAACAGGGTAATGATTTCTGGTAAGAGACATTGCTGTTGAATTTTCCAAATGTATTTTTCTATATATCACCACAAAAGGAATGCCATTCACTCCATTATATTCGAGAAAAGCCTGACATTTTTACAGCTGGTATCTCCATAACTAGGCAACTCCCGGCAGAACAACCTAGATGGATAGATAGCATTAAAGTCCCTCTAACACATATCTTTTTCTCAGTTTTGGAGTGAACAGCCCCTTTAAAATCCCTTATATTAATTACTACTGTCGTTCTCCTTTGCTGAGGCAGTATAAAAGGTATTCTATCAGTTTGAAGAACAGATGTCTGCTTATATCTAGAATCAACACATTCATTATCAAACAGCTGTGAACATTTTTTTATGTTTTTTGATTTTGTTTCTTTCTTGCTGGTGATGCAAATTGACATCCTGGTTGGCAGTGACTGTGCACTACTCTGGCTGTGTGATTCAGGCGAGGGACTGCAAAAAAGGGGGCAAAGTAACACTATCCTCCCGCATAGATACGGTCACACGTGGCCTCAAACGGAGTGCACTTTGGCATCCCAAGTCTGCGAGATCCCCACCTGAATCTGTGAGGCGTGGAGGTCCATGGTGATGATGTGATCAGCCCCTGCCACGGACAGCATATTGGCCACCAGCTTGGCCGAGATGGGAGCACGACTCTGCAGGATGTACAGTAGGTGTAAATTACACAAACAGCTTAAACCTCCACCTGAAAGTCACTGTCTGTAGTGAAGATGACCAGTTGAATGCTGCTAAATCCATCTTATTAACAGCATTTCCCCCATGTGCGTACACCCCCATATCTCCATGTTTGTAAAGCTGTCTGCTCAGTAGTGTTAACGGGGGGGGGTCAAAATGAAAACACAAAGGACAACACACAAGGGAGAGCCTAAACTGATCTGGGAACAGTCAGAAAACTGGGTTTCCCTGAGGATCAAAATAAATCCTACTTATCACATATGTGTATAGTCACTTTGATTAAGGGGTGCATGGCATTAACTAATATAAGTAACCCTAACAATATTTGTAATAACAATCATAATAAAATAATGACAATAATAATTTTAAAAATGGTCTGATGTACAACTTCTTCCTGCAGAGTAAACACACACATGGCTTTCAGTTTAACGTCAGTGTTTCCACAGCACATGGTGGCCAAGGTTACAGAGTACTAGGTGCAGTGTCGTCACACGAATCGACAAGTTTTCATATAAATATTAACCTTACCCTGGGAACCAACAGTTTTCAGATCTCACAAATGAACTTTATGGTACTTATTTACTACTGCTTTTTAGGTTAGGGATGTACATTAGAGTGCACTGAATCATATTAAGAACACAAAATGAGAATAAATGCATAGATACTGAAGTCCTGAATGCGACACTGGATATCAGAACCTTGTTAAAATGATTAAACATTCTTTTTAAAAAGATTAAATCGAAAAGGCTCAATATTAACTCAAATTCAAGCATTACCAGTACTATTGTGGCTAAGTAGCCCCTGTAGAATTCCGCTGTTACTTTGGTAACTAAAAGGTTTCCAGTATGATCAAGGAGCTGGGATTTCGCAAGCTGGGGTCTAATGCAGAAATGAAAAAACTGCTACCCTTGACTTGCGTCTAGTTATCATCAGCTCATACCTGTGACCCAACAGCCATGCTTACTGTGAATCTAAGGAATGATTCATTCTGTATATCCACCTGTCTTATGCAAGGTCACAGGGGGCTTATCCCGAAAGCTACGGGCGCAAGGCAAGGAATAACCAAGGATGGGGCACCAACCCATCGCAGGGCACATACACCACTCATACCTTGGAGGGAAACCTGAAAACCCCAAGGAGATCCCATGTGGGCACGGGGAGAACATGCAAACTTCACACACTTAGAGCCAGGATGGAGACTCGAACACTTCAAAGATGTGCTGCTCCAAAAATCATAAAGTTCTGACATAAAACTGGTATTTTCAGAACGTACATGTACCTTGGCAGATATTGCACCTGGCTATTTGGACCCTGCCCCTTTTCTCTTGGGACATCTAAGAGATGCCTGAGAGGGAGACACATGTGACCTGAGCAGCCACTCTGGGGTCCATAAGCACCGTGGGTCTTTACATAGCTTGAATTATGCAGCAATATGTAAGGGGTTTGGAAAAGCAGAAGACCTGCAAGGGGGCTGAAGTCACCTTGTCCTTCTTATCCTGGCGGGCATAGGGGAAGCAGGGGATGACGGCGGTGACACGGGATGACGAGGCGATCTTGCAGGCGTTAATCATGATGAGCAGCTCCATCAGGTTATCGTTGATCTCGCCGCAACCGCTCTGCACAATGTAGACATCCTCGCCGCGGACGCTCTCGCCTATCTCCACACTGCAGGGGGGGTGGGGTGGTTCACGGCTGTAAGTGAGCTGCGGACTATCACTGCCCACACAGCTAGCAGCAATTTTGCTGAATAAACACTTTATTTTACAGAAAATCAGCTGACTCAGCCCTCGATAGACACAACCTATCGAGTGACACTATCATAGTAAGACGTCATCACTTGGATGATGGCAAAATGTCCCAATATATCCAAGTTATACTTTTAATACCGAGTATACTCTATTATGTGTCCCAAACATATTCTTTTATCATAACCATACTATTTATATGCACAATCGCATTGCAAAGACTCATTATTATATTCAACACCCAATGAATTGGGATGAAGGCTGATTAAGTTAAATTATACTTTCTTTATGGAAATGTGACTGCAACATCTGTATTTCAGTTATTTAATGTTTATTATAGAGTATTATGATGGGACAGCCAATAACTTTGCTGGCATGCTTAAGAAGACAAAGTTCCTTTCAAATTATCAACTCGGAGACATGCAACTAGAAACTGAAGGGATCTTGCAGGATACTAATAAAAAAACAACATTAGGATTTATCTGCTCCAAGTTCTATGTCAGATAAATTAAGGCTTCAGGATGGGCAAATCACGGGATACCAAAGCCTACATAATGAATAAGGCATGACATTTTATAGCGGCCGTCCACCTCAGTTCACAGCAGGTCATTGCAGCGTTCCGGCCACGGATAAGGCGCTTTGGCATTCTAGCAATTTCTCCAGACCGATTACTAGAAATAAGCAGGCAATGAAAGGTGCCCTTTTGTATCTTTACCTACGCCAGCGTGTTGAAGGATTTCGGTCGCATTGCGCAACGAAGTCCTTTACTTGACAAACTAGTTTGCAGCTCCGGCTATCACGTGTTCCGGGAAGACGCTCCGCTTACTATTCGATAATATGACTAATAAAGCAGCCGGACAGCGTAACAAACAGGAGTATCGTTCTCTAAAGTTTAAACGCCTTCGTCATGGAAAACTGCCTATATTCTGCAGCTAATACATGCATACATGTGCACGAATGCACAAACTCACACATTGAGTGTTTCACTTCCACATGCTGCATTGACTGTGAATGACGGTATGTATTTAACTGCACATGCACATGCAATTAAAAGCACTCACCAGGTCTCTTGGTTGCTGAATTTCTTCGTAATGACTTTTCCCAATTCCAAACCGAGTCTGTCAGCCACTTTTTGTGAGAGATCATGATGAGAGCTCCCACTAAACAGAACAATATTTGGCATGATGCAAATAAAAAATGTAATATTCCACGACGTACACGGAGGAAGCCAACTCTGTACAACATACAGCGTTAAAAATAGGTGTTAAACGAACATGCTAATTGTTACAGCTAAGCTTTGTGACTTGTTCTACACCGCTTTTAGAAGGAAGGGTTGCGGCGTCCAAAAGGAAATGATGTGCGCCAGACCTGCCTAGTCTCCACCCACTTTGTTTTTCACGGCCTCCGAAAACGTATAAACATGTGGTTTCGTATATTTATATTCAGGGACTGACATAACTTTCGCCATACGTGCGGCCATTTCTTATCGTAACCGCGCAAATGCACCTACAATACGTACGCATTTGTTCAATTATGACAGGATTTTACCGCGCATTTTAACCTTCGCGGCGAGAGCGTATTTCATTAGCGTTACACGGGTTAAAATGCGCGGTTTTTTCTTGTCAACGGGAAATGCACGTAAATAACTACGCGGTTGCGCTGTGGCAACTAGACATTTGCCGCACGTATCACTTTATACGGCGAATGTGTACCTATTATGTATTTCTTATTATTTGTTGCATTTATGTATTTTTATTTTACCCGTAGCGAATGTATTAAGGTGTATCTTTTTATTCACGAAATTTCAGAGCATTTCAGATAAATTTAATATACGTGTACAGACAAATGCAACTAAAGAAATATAACATTTTTTAACATTGAGTTTGATAAAGACAAAATGTCAAAAGCCATGATGCTTTCAGGCACTGAAGTCGCCATACATGATCTTCGTCCTACTGCCCATGCATGCAGTCACCTTGTTACTATAGCTAATCAAAAAGTCAGAATGGAAATTGGAAGGTTACAATTTGAGGCATTTTTTTCCCAGGTCTTCGATTCATTTTTTTTTAATTATAATGCTTTTATTTTCAGGATTTACAACTTCGAAATTAATGCAGTTGATTCGAAACTACACGTCACGTTATCTAATGTTGGTTCTTCGTTCATTTACTTAAAAGCCATTAGAAAGCATGTTTGTTTATTTTGGATTTCTTGTGTAATGGTCATATGTTACCTATTGTTTTAAGCAGTGTTGGAAGGATACTGTATCTTTAATATATAAAAGTTAACAGATTTGTATAACTAGTTTAGGTAGTAATGTTAGCAGTACGTAACATGAAATTGGGAAGAAGAATTCCAGGTGGCCAAAGAATAACTCGTACGTAAAACTTGATTTACTGATTGTTAAAAGGTAAATTTTGTCTTCATCCTTCGATCAGGACTCCCGTGTTTCTGACCGAGATCTAACCATGTGGACCTTTGGCTCCTGTCAATATAATTTCTGGTTCCTCAAAATCAGGATCAGTGGCCTGCAGCACAGATCGATCTCCTGGCCCAGCGAATACCTCGATCTGCCGGCCGCTATAACTGCATGGCTGTGAGACAGATGGAGTTATTACAATTAGCGAAAACCACAAGAAAACATTTTTCGTAAACCGAAATAAAATAAGATATGAAAATAAAAGTAAAACTAAATGAAAACTGCAAATATTGCCTCCGAATTAACTGAAATAAAATAAAAACAAACGTTAAGTATAGTTTCCTTTACCGTTTTTTAAAATACGGTAATGATTTGTTTATCTTTCATTCTTGACGGAAATTAAATCCAGCAAATTGCTTTTAGATGACTATTAATGATACCTGCAACACGTTTTGCCCATTTGAGGACATTAGTGCATATATAATGTGCTCTGTCCATATATGTAGGATTCTCTAATGATCAGACACATAAAACAGTACCACAACTTTCAGTCTACCCCTAGAAATACAATTACTAAAAATGAAACTAAAATAGAGGCATATAAACAATGCATATAAATATATCTTTATAATAAAAACTGAAAGCTAAATAAAACCAAACTTCTTTTCAATTAAAAGTACTATTTTCAAATGAAAATTGAAAATATAGAAGAAAAAAAACTACATTTAAAAATCAGAACTATAATAATACTGGGATGTAATACAGTAAGTTGAAAACTGATGCCAAAGTTGAGGAGATTGCTTGTTTTCCAGTAGTTGCTGCCCCATGGATGGGTCAGAAGTCAACACAAGCCATTGTTGAACAAGGTACCAGACAACAGCCATGACACACAAGGAAACTGTTTTCCGCACTGCCCGCAATCAGCCGACTGACATTAATGCCCATCTCTGTGGGTCCCTTCAGCATGATTACAAGAACAGGATCAACTCCAGCGTTACTCGATTACTGGTTACAGCTTTGATGACGCTACCCAAGGGACACCAGCATCTGAAATTACATGCAAAACCTCCAAGTCAAAAGACGGACAGTGAGGCTGGTCGATTTAGTCGTTAAAGCGCTAAATCTGATTTGATGACTATGATCCAAGTGGAGAGTAGGCAGCACAAAGCTGGCCCTGGGGATGACACTAACCGGGTAATTCTGACATGGTAGATGATAAAGTAACCATTGAATAAGGCAGCTGCTCTGTTCAGTTATTTCAAAACCTGGCAGTCGGTCTTTCTTAATATGTGCATAATCTTCGGTTTCCATAGCCTATCCATCTGGTGCTCACGTCAACTGCTTTATTTGTCTTTCATTTCACAAGATATATAGTCATCCAGTTTCACTACAGCTTGTACCTTCCATTCCATCTATGCATAATGGCAGGAGTAATATTTTAGGAGGGAAAATCATAGATCATGTATAGACCACACCTTGTACCGCTCATTTTGGCCTTAAAATACTGCTGATTAGTATTAATATTAATATTAATGTGCTTCACATGAAACATAATTTATTTTCACTCCTTGGCCTTTCATATATCATTCCTTGTGTTTCGGGCTAAATGGTTTTAATTGAGTTTTCCGGGTGTTCTCAGTCAGCTGACGCCCAGCACCTCACGTTTCCCAGCAGACTATGAAGACTTTGAACTGCAAGCAGAATCCAGGTGGTGGATTGAAGGATTGTAGAACTTTTTGTTTATTGTTTGATAAATTGAGGTGGATTAAAGTCTTTCCATTGGACATGGCAATGTACCACGTTTCAAAATTACGACTCAAAATCACGTTAGAAATATGAGCTCTGTACTAAAAAAAACAAAATTGTATATAACAAAATTGTACATATACATATATATACACATATATATACATATACACACACACACACACACACACATATATATATATATATATATATATATATATATATATATATACACTGCTCAAAAAAATTAAAGGAACGCTTATTAATCAGAGTATAGCATCAAGTAAACTAAACTTCTTGGATATTCATCTGGTCAGTTAAGTAGCAGAGGGGGTTGTTAATCAGTTTGAGCTGCTTTGGTGTTAATGAAATTAACAGGTTGTCAGGGTCAGCCCCTGCTGTGGTCCTACCGTGTCCCTTCCCCGTTTGACCAGCAGGTGTTGCTGGTCATCCTGTCCTTCATGTTAGTCTTCGTTCTCCCCTGTTACCTGTCTGGTCATGTGGCTCAATGTGTTGAGCATGTGGTTGTCTGTGTACCTTTCTGTCCTAAGTACTCTTCTGTCCTATGTTTGAATCCCACTTCCTGTTTTTGTATTTTGCTCCCTAGTGTTTCATTTGAGTTTCTTTAGTTCTTGTGTCTGATTTTGTAGTTGGTTTTGGTTTTGTTCCTTGTGCTCCTGCTTGTGTCTTTACCTGTTTAATTCCCTAGTGTTGGTTTATGTTAGTTCCTAGTTTCCCTGTTTTTAGTTCCTTTGAGTTATTAGTTTCATCTGTGCCCTGTTTCCCTGGTCTTTGTTAATTAGTCTCACCTGTCCTGTGTTAGTCTCGTTACCCCTTTAGTATTTAAGTTCCTACTTCTGTTTAGTTCACTAGTGGTTCATTGTTGTGTTCTGTATGTGTTGTAATGGTTTTGAGATTGTCAGTGGTCAATG